GCGTCTTCTAGATCACACCTGACCTTTATTCAACGAAAAACTTCTTTCGAAAAATTTATAACATTTGTCCTTCTTCTAGACACCCATTCAATTAAAAAATGAAAATATTAACTCATAATATACGCCATAAAAAAATGTAAAATTCAAATTTTCTTGTAATATTAAAATAAAACAAATTTCTGAAAGAAATAAATACATAAACGTTTATAATTTTTTGTTTTCGAAATAGAATTTTGGTTTTCAACAGTTTCACTGCAAAAGCGTGCTGGGATTATTGGTCGGTTATAGCAAAAAATGCTCAAAATGCAATGGGTTAATATTAATTTTTGTACAGTTGATAAAATATTTTACAAAATCTATTCAGCTGGATTTTTAATTTTGCGTTGATATAATTTTTAAAATAATTTAGGTATCTAATAGAAAGAATCGTTTGAATAGCTTTTTAATATATATTGTTTTTAATGAGAACGAAGATTACAAAAAATCTGTATGCACATGCTACTTTTCCACGAAGAAATCTTTTTTCGCGACATTTTCGCGTACAGACCAAGAGCGCCGAAGGTGAAACGTGACAGCAGGTGAAAGAAATGCGTCGCGTATGCACGAAATGAGTTTCAAGTTTTCAAATTTCATACCGCCCTGCTCGAATCGCGAGTTTCTTCGTCTACAGGTTTGTATGGAAGAGATATAGAAAACTTCCGAACAGGCATTAGGTTGATGTAAAAGTTCCGCCATACGTTTTCAGCGAGTTGCATACACAGAAGTTGAAACTCCCGTAATATAAAATCGAACCCGACTTACGACGTTTTTTTTTCTAAATATTCCGAACGTATCTTTGTACATTTAAGGAGAAACGACATTGATATTTTATTCGTTCTTTCACATCTTTCTTCATAGTTTCGCAGATACCGGGATTGTAATCTGGTTCCAAATGTTAAGTCCTTAATACAACTAATTATAAATAATTTATTTTAAAAGTAATGTGACTATTGTATCACTTCGTCAAGAATTGTGGTTCTTCTAGCAGTTATTAACTGGTATATTGCATCCAAACGTCATTAAAATCCGAGCGACTGTAAGAGCAATTAAGGGACACAACGCGATTAAATTTGTTATTCACACCACTGAAATCGTAAACAAAACGTTTGTAAATTAATCTGTAAACACTGCATTTGTGCAAATATTCATTGTTTAGTGGCGATATCTACTCACCATAAATTATTCCATTAAACTTGTATTACACATATAATTTTATGTAATAAACAGTTATCAAGAACGCAACAGAATTATCTGCTAACCGAACATTCTTTCATCGGAATGTTCTATTATCACAAGAATGTACGTATATCAGACTTTGGTTGTATTCCAGGCAATGTTTACATCCCGACACGTATGCACACCTTCGTATACATTCGTATAAATACATTCCTTCAATGTGTACAACTATCAAAACGAAATACCTTCACAATTATTCAGTATGAAAACTACATTCCACAGGATCACTTGAAACAGAACATGAAATCATTAAGAGACTAAACATTGACGATAATATGACACAGTTAACAGCAAAATACAGTATCGGGAAAGTTACGATCAATGGGTTCGAAAATAGGGAAGGAAAAAGTGTCCTTCCTTCATGTCCATTTGTACTATCATGCTTGAAATATATGAATTTTCATCCAATAAAAGTTATCGTTCTATTATCTGAAAGTTCTGTTATCCAAATATTTTTGTCTCCCTATTAGTTCCGATAATCGAGGTGCTACTATATCATCCATCTAACGTGTAGAAGACAGGAAGCCTTTTTTTCGTAGTATAACACCCTGACAAATATGAATATAAAAGTTTTAATTCAAAAATATAAAGAGCCATGAAAAAACCTGCCCGTCCTCGAAAAGTTAAACAGTTCTACATTCATTGCGTCGTACGGCGTCATGTCGACCTATCAGAGATTCGTTAGAACGATGTTGGAACTAAAGACACTTGTGTTATAAAAAGAAATGAGAACTCCAATCGCCTGGGGCCAGGTTCCCTCGACAAGGACACCAAGCGATAGTCTGCATGAAGCACGTACATCAGAGAGAAGAGTGTCGTATTTAATTTCACCCGTTAACTGCGTCACTCAGATTGTCACCAAGAATCGCTAGAGTACAAGAATGACGTAAGTCTGGCGAAAGTTCAAGTAGAGCAAATGTTTACTCGAGCAGTAAATAGTTATTTCGAAATACGGGAAGCAAGCAAACATGGAACTGTACCTGGAAATTATGGTTTTACAGTGTATGACTCATACATGTAAAAATTAGAGCTGTGGACTGTGAAACACCTTGAAACAAGACTGTAGATACTGATGAAAATATGTTTGAAACTAAAGGAAAGTGGCGGTTATATGTATACAGGGTGTTTAAAGGCAAGGGTCTAAGACTGTAGGGGATGAAAGTATTCGTCGAGTGGAGTAAAAAATGCCGAATCGATATACAGTGATTCCTCGATGAATGCAACACGAACAACGGCGCTATTCCCACTACTGGGTGGTCCACTTCTGGATCCAATAAAAACAGAGTAAACAGAAGCTAAGTAGAAGCTCGGCTTTGTACAAAAAACAAATTTATGAGGGGCTGAAATATTTTCTGCCTTGCCACGAATGCTACGAAGCGGACCCGAGTACGTCGTACTCATCGAGACATTACTGTAGGTCCTAAAATCAATACTTTCGATGAAATATACAGAAGACTATTTTTATTTAGATTTATATTTCAGATAGTCGACATGTTTTCCTTTTATTTTAATCCAGAACTCATATCTGTGAACCAGAGATCACGTCATTTGATGTAACGAAGTTGACGTCATACAACGTTGAGCTACTGTAAATTTAAACCAATTCTTCTGTTTAAATTCAGTATGCTTCGAAATGTATTTTCGACATCAAACGCTCGTAAATATAGAAGTTAATTTTACATCGAAAGGATTTAGCTTAAAACCTATGTTGATTGGACATTTTAATTTCACTGCATGAGTACTATGAGCCCCTTAAGTCTTAGTCTTTTTCTTCGAGTACAGTGTATATAAAATTAAACAGGACATTAACCGTATTAACATGTATCAAGGCCACTGAAATTGGCGAGGTGTACCCTACTCTATTATATTTATTGAAAAAAAAGAGAACCCCAGGGTTGACTCAAGTCCATGAATCTCGTTACAGGAACATACACGGTAAATATTCTAATCAGGTACATACAGTAAAACTTAGCCATGATCGCAGAATTGCATATAACACAAGCCAGTTTTGTTAATAATTACCATGAAGACTTTTTTTTATTGTTTCTGCGAATTCGTCTGTTGCCGAAACGACATCCATGATGAGACTAGGAAGATGTCGGAAAATGTTAATTCCCATTTTATTTCGTTTTCACGTTTCAACGCCAGCCATTTTCACATTTGGGTTTGCTGGGTACTTGGTGCAAGCCGCTGTAATTGCTATAAACTTTCAATGGACGCACAGTTTCTGGACAATTTAACGTGTTCAAAACATAACCCGCTATTAGCACAGTCCAGTGGTTATCGCGGCAGGGTAAGAATATGATGATCGTAATAGTACCTTGGGCAGTTTCCAACACTGTTAACGTAGGGAGGGCTTAACGTGAAAACTTCAGTGCTCTTGCTGTTCAGTGGTAGTGAAGAGGAATTCAGTCCACCAATTTGTTTTTGCCTTCTATGAGGAACAGATTTTTCGTTTCGACTAGTAATTGCAGGAATAATTTTTCTAAGCTTTCTAACGCTTTAAACTTAGTAAAACCTTTAATAGAATATTAGGTTCTTGCGTGTGGAATAGTGTTTTCTAGTTAATTTCAACTGTAAATCACATTTTAAGACGTTAGTATATATCACCAAACCAAATTTTAATACTTAATACTAAAATGAAAATTTTTTCCTTTAATTCTCCTTTAAAAGAGAGAATCAAAAATTTTCTTTAAAAAATGAAACAAAAATTTTTACCTCATTGCGTTTATATGATTCAATTTTATTATAATACAGTGTCTTTTATAAATTGTCTCCAATCCATGAACGTACCTGGGATCCAATAAAACATAACACGTCGATTTAATTATAATTAAAATTTTCAAAGCCTGTATATATCCCATGATATTTGCTATTCAACTTGAACATTTATTGACCGATTTCTCGTTCACATACGTATATGTAAATACTTATCACGGTTAGGCTCGTTACGCCAGGCAATATCATCGGGCGAGATCACGGTTCTCGGCTAAAATTTCAAAGTAATTGGCATCCCTTTCATGTAGGTAAATTCAACCGCACTTTAATAGTATGACATGTTGCGTGTGTCAAGATAACCGGTTCAGTGGTTTAGCTGCTACCACTTCGGATTAGTACTGCGGCTTTCTCGTTTGTCGAATTACTGGGATTACCCAGATTACACGGATCGTACACGTACGATACGTCTAATAGGAGTTATTCCGCGCATATCTTACTGCCAGCATTTAATCGATTAATTAACTTATACGCCCGCGTCTATTCGCGGTCTGCATAGGGAACACTCCTTTTCGAAATTACGCGAATATTGTTCGATTTAATCTCGCGAAACATAAACTCCATACCCTGTATACCATTGACGTGAAATAAACGAATGGAACGCTGAATGAACATTTTCAGGGGAAATTTGTATACGAACTGTTACGAATGAAATGTTGAATGAAAAATATTTTTCGAACAATGGTCACAATCACTGAAATTGATTTTCTGTGGTTGCTTTATAACCTTTATTTTACCATCAGTGGGTATGGTTAGAATTGATAGTGACTGACTTCATTTTGGGATGAATCTTCTCTATTAGATATTGTTATTTATCGTTTTATTATATTTTTTGTATTTTTCCCCTTTATTTCTTTAGTTAGTTAAATGCAATAGCTGTATTACGTGTATTATTAAGCAACTGTATTTGTTATAAAAAGAGGCAAATATTCACTAAAAAGAAAACTTACCAGTGACATTGAGTATAATGTGCTGAACATTATTGCACTCCCGATTCACTGCCAAGTACGTAGCTTCGCATTTGTACAGCCCCTCATCCTCTATTTTAACATCCGTAATCTTCAAGTACGTTCTCGTTGAATTCGTTGTGTATTCTATATCCGACCTGAAAGAATCAAAATACACGAAACACTGTTAAAATTATAATAAAAATAATCGTGATAATTTCAATACGGAATTTTAACGGGATATATCCAATGAGAAAAAAGAAACGTATTGTTTATTAAACAATTGAAACAATCTACAACAACATTGAAATTTTTACTTCCAAACGAATTATAGGTACAGTTCCCTGCCACTGACACAACACATTTGCAATCCTATTAACATCGGGTAATGAATGGAACAATGAGATAGATCAATCTGCTCGTTATAGCGCTGAATCGATAGTGCTTACTTATACCACTAAGGAAACAATGGCATTAGAATTTATACGATACAATCGTGTATCCTATTGGCTCGGTATCATTATGCTGACTTCTGTCGAGATACAACGGTAATTGACAACGACCATGTAATAAACATTCCGGTTTTAACTGTGGCAAGTGTTGTTTCCGTTACGGAAGCTTCTCTGTTATAGAAGTGAATATTACAGAAGCTTGATTACCGTAGAAAAACACGGCGAAAATGGGCGCAACAGTCGAAGCGAACCCTCGAGTATATGTGCTTTCACTCCTCCACATAATGACGGAGTTGCGGCGCCATGTTTGTTTTAAAATTCAAGTGCCTACCCTGCTCTCTAGTCGAGCATGGTATACTTGAAGTCGATTCGATATTTTATACTAAGTGAAAGTAGCTGCTTTACGATTACGATCACTACACACAAGAATAGAATTCCGTTACAATACGAATTCCGAATACAGTATTCCGTTATACATATAAATGTACATGCATACCATATGCATGTACGATCGCTAAATATTTCTTTAGGTTCAAGGTTTTTTTAAGGTTATTATTTTTAATTATTAGTATAATATTATTATTTTTATATATTATTAATATCTGTTAGTGCATCAAGAGCATTATTTATGTAGACTCTGTTATTATCAGTATATAACTTTATATATTTACTTTGTGTTATACTAATTCGTAGCAACTCATGGGAAAAATGATATATTTTTTAATACATTTGGTACAATTTAAATTTTTATTAATAAAAGGTTTATTTCGTGTAAGATTAAACTGACTGAAAATTTTTAATGTTTAATAGTAAAATTGTTCCTCACCTCCTAATATTTCGAAATAGGTTTCAATAACAACTTTATCTGAAAGTAGATTAAAAAATTTACAATAATTTACATTTCTTACCAGTTAAATCCACCAATTTTGACTAATTATTTATGCAATAAATCTATGCTGATTTTCATATAATCATAATCTGTTTAAGTCGACAATGGAGATTCTAAACAATAAGTACATTTCGTAGAATTACAATATGTACTTTAATTGCAGGAGACATGTGTGCTATGAAAACGTCTCTTTCTAACTATACGGTACAGAATAAACCTGCCATTATTGTCACCGGTTACTCTCGCAATCACAACTCCGAGCGTCCTGTATTTATGCCGATATTGCAGTTTCGGTTTGTTAGCATGAATGCTTAGGCGGTTGTAGCCGTGGTTGTGTACCTGGTGAGCGACGCAATATCCGAATGGTAGCAATAATTGTTATTAACTAGTGCGTTTGTTCATTAATGCGATGCACTTCTGTTGATTGCCGGCAGAACGATACACGCACCAATTATACAAATATGCTCGTCAACCGTATGTAAAACAGTTTGCTTGCATATCTGTGCGTTACCGATCTGTTTACTAACAGAGCCACGGTTACTTTGAGAAATTTGGCGAGACAGCCGCGGGTGACAGATTCTCATTAATGGGCCGAAGCGTGGGAGCAATTTGTTATGATTAAGTGAACCCCAGAACAGAATGGCACAAGAAAATTATTCCCTTATTTTTAAGCCGACTGTTTAATGACCAATCGAAATTTTTCTCAGATTCTAATTTTTTATCACATTTGTTATGATCCAGTGAACTATGAAATTCTGCAAAACATAATGACACAAGACATTTTTCCCCTTACTTTTAAACCGACGCACTTTTAGGGTGCAAATGGATTTTTTCTCTGTTTCTAATTCTTTATAAAATTGTAATTACTGAATATGGAAAATACGAGTACTAACGATTTTTAGCGACCTTATAGTAAAAACATTTTGCACTCTTTGGATCACTTTGACCAGAATTCAGATTTTAAGTTTTAATTATATTCTTTATCAGAGAAATTTGTAAAATCAATTTTGCACTAGAGTTTTGCATGTATAAGTTACCATGTAACTGGTGGTACAACCGGGTAGGGGATGATTCTACGTGAAAAAGTAAGTCGAAAGTATGTAATAAAATTTTTTCATCTGTGGCTTCGTTTTCGAGAAAGTCGACTTTGAAAATCTGCTGGATACTTCTGCAATTGAATAGGACTTTGCTAGCGCGTCAGTTCATTACATTTCGTTTCTATTTATTGTCAATACGGATAGACACATACAGTGTCTCAATTAATACTATAATACTCGGGTCCGTTTTGGAGCATTCATAGCAAGGCGGAAAGGTTTTCAGCCCCTCGTAAATTTGTTTTTATTTTTCCCAAAACCCGAGTACCTGATTAGCTTCTATTTAATCTGTTTTGATTGATTTCAGAGGGGTGATCCCCCCAGTGGTGGGAATAACGCCGTTGCTCGTGTCGCATTCATGGAGGAACTACTGTAGATGGCTCCAAATTCGATTATTTCGAAAACGATGCTTCATGCAAAAAAGTTTTCTTCTACATTTTCGACTTACTTTTTCCTTCTAGAATAACACGGTCAAACACATAGATGAAGTTTCAAGCTCGATTATCGTAAAAATGAACCATACAAAAAAGTTTTATTCTACAATACATTTTCGATTGATTTTTCCATGTAGAACGATCTCCTGTCCTGTAGCATTACCCGCCCTGGCCCACACTATATATCTTTACAGAAGGAAATCATGCGAACAGTTCACTGAAAACAGTATCAGCATCACACTTACTATTAGATGTAACTTTAGAAAAAAATATCTGTTAGGAGTATACAGTTGCAAGCTGTTCAACCACTTTCAATCGTCTGGAAATTCAGCCATGTCAATGTCTGGTAAGCAGGAGACAATCTAAAGAAACATGTACGTATATTCCACATCGAATACTCTGCCGAAAATAAGAACTCCCATTAACGGAACACAGAACGGAACTTTGGTGCACACTCACCAGAACTACCAAGTGAAACGTAGCGAATCCTTTGATGTCTACGTCGACAGAGTACCCAAACGAAATGGTACCGCGGAAGTATCAAACACGACTAAACAATTCCCCCGTCGCGATTACAGGGGATTCCAGAAAACGTTAGCCTCCCGCGAGGATATGTCCTTTCTCAATGTGTGTGTGAGGTATTGTACGACGACGTTAGTTCTCTCGAGTAAATTTTAAATCGAGGAACGAGCTTGATAAACGTCGCTCCGAATCGAAACGTGCGTTTTCCATTATGCTCTCGTTGTAGATCTTCTGTGTCGTCTGATCCTCTTTGCCGAGTACCGAGGAGACGGAGAAAGCTTAAATACGGTTCTCTAATCACTGCTATTCGAGAGTGGGAGAAGAAGCACGAGGAATATCGAGCTCGGGTATTGCTAAAATGCCTTCGATTTGTCATGCGTTTCAGGTTTATGGAAATGACGTGCTATACAAGCTCCAAGAGTTGGTAACTGAACTCTGACTTACCAGGGAAAAATGATAGGTATTAATCTTATTTTTTTTAATTAAAATATAGAGAAGTTAAATAGTGAAATGGAGAAGTTATCGTATATGTTCTTCGGCTTGTTACAAGCAGATGCATGTTCCTACTGGAAATAAATCAATACTAATTACGAATATACTAATTATTAGACTGCAGAAATATATGGAAATTCACAATTTCCAATACCAATATTTAAAATTTCAAATGGAGTAGAATTTTGAATTCTGTACTAGAAGCTTTAGTATGTTAATCATAACATATAAATATTATTGAATATTATTAAAACCTTTATCTTATTGATTTTTCCAAGATAAGAGATGCTATAAATGCATAAACATCCGCAGTCTACCAATGATACTATTCTTAAGGTAAATGGGCGTTAAGAGATTCACTGTTCGAAAGCTTGAATTCATTTGGCTTTCTATACATATACGGCGCTTTAGTTATCTCAACCACCACAAAACCTATATGGCGTTTCGCGAGTAATTTTCACCAGTGGCCGGCTATTTTTGTCAAGAATTAACAAAATATGGTTGTTGTAATGTACGTTAAAAAATTCAGTAACTTTGAATATCTGAAAAGTACTAATTGACACTCACATGACGTCAGTGTCGCGTCATCGTTCATTAGCAGTTAGCACTTACATGACGTTATCAACCAAATAACACGAGAGAAGATGTGAAAGAACCTGTACCTATATTAATATTTGCTAACGTCACAGATTTTCATATTAATTGAGAGAAATCAAGCATACTGTGTATTAATGTGAAAATTTCCTTCCTTAATTATTTCTGCGTAGTCGAGTCAAATGAAACACCACATATCATCTGCTAAATTGTGTATTATTCCTCACAGAGTATGTAACATAGGTAAGTATACATGTTCATTTTTACACTTCCTACACTTTTCGTATTCGTATGTGTTCTTGTGCCCCGACTGATTAAGCCTTGAGGATTAATTTTAATGTAACAGTAATACAAATATTTGTAATAATTCCGTTTGCAGGAATGGAATACAGGGACATTAATCACGTATTCCGTTTGTCAGATGGTCCGTCCTACAGATTGACATACGAATCGCCACGAGCATTCTGTCCAATCCTTTAACCTCCCTGTGACCAATATCACACCACCGCATAGCAATATGTTTCTAATCGGCGCGATCAACAGTGTCAAAACGCTTGGCGTCATTTGATAAATGATCCACTCAAATATGTATAGCATATTGACTGTTCTGGTGTAATACATTAAAGTTATTGCAATAAATTCGCGTAACGTTTACATCTATAAAATATACGCCAGGTGCGT